CACAGCTGTAAAAACAGGACAAGGCAGGTGCTTGCTCTGACATCCACTGCACATATAATCCCTATTTAGTTTCCTTGAGTCTCTGCCTTTTCCCCTAGGTTCCTTATCCATTCCTGCAACTATCTAGGCAACTATCAGGAAGTTATCAAAATGAGTAAGAATGTTTTTCCTCTCTCCTCTAAAGCAGGTGATAAACACTAGATGCACAATAAATGTTTTTTGAATAAATGAATGATTCACAATCCCTCTCAGCAGAAGTAACCACTAATATTTTATATATAGCCCTTTCTACTTTTTCCAAGGTAATTCTAAACCATGAAAAAAAAGAGGAATTTGAAGTAAACTAGTTACACCAAGTTACTACTTCACAGGTATAAAACTAATGAATCTGTATGTGAAAAGCTGACTAGTACAGCTTTGGCTCAGAGAAGGCTGCATAATTCATACACTTCATAACACTGCGGGTAGGTGGGTATAAGATTCATTAAAGGACTTCGTTAGTTTTTCCATTCATTCATTCATTGACTTATCAAACGTGTTCTGAGATTTCTGAATGAAGAACCGTGGTAGAAAACGGGAAGTGGTAAAGACATCAATTATCATTATTATTACCATCATTATTATTATCATCATTATTATTATTTTGAGACAGAGTCTTGCTCTGTCACCCGGGCTGGAGTGCAATGGCGCAATCTCGGCTCACTGCAACCTCTGCCTCCCAGGTTCAAGCGATTCTCCTGCCTCAGCCTTCCAAGTAGCTGGGACTACAGACATGTACCACCACTCCGGGCTATTTTTTTTCTTTTTTTATGTATTTTTAGTAAAGATGGGGGTTTCACCATGTTGGCCAGGCTGGTCTTAAACTCCTGACCTCAGGTAATCCACTTTGGCCTCCCAAAGTGCTGGGATTATAGGCGTGAGCCACTGTGCCCAGCCAAGACATCAATTCTTGAGGAGCACGTATACTGTTGATAGAAACAGACATGGAATGGTGTGTAAGTAGCAAGACACTGTTATATGTTACGAACAAAGCGGGCAAGGAAATAAGGAACTGAAATGTCAAACAATGCCGTAAGCATAAGGACTGGTGTTATGCCAGTCCTATACTGAGGGTAGTTTTGAAAACAATAAAATCTTGCCGTTCACAGTGACCCTCAAGCTACCCGATGTGTGTGTGTGTACGCAATAGGGTTGATTCAGATGTGGAGACTAGAAAATTACAACAAGTAGAACAGTTAGCCCTTTTTGTTATAAACCTCATATTTGTAATTGGAGACTTACTCGCAGGTGGACATATTTCTGATGACAAAGGCAATCACTGTGTCAGAAATTTAATTGCTTCTAAATAGCCAGACACAATACTTACATAAATGAAAGAGAAAATAATCAGAGTTAGGTTTTTTACTTCTGGATGCCTTGTATTTATTAAAAGAGAGCTCAGGTTACTCAGAATACCAGTTTTCTCTTCTTTTTAACTATCTCTGTAGGTAATTGTTTACTAAGATGTTGCCGTTCAGTGTAACTACAGGCTCAGATTGGCTTTTGGCTGTATTCAAGTCCATATTTGTTTCTCATTGTCTTGAGAATAGAATACTTTTATTCCTAAAGAGGAGATGGGCCCTCCCTTTAAATGAGAAACACACTTATATATTTATCATCTTTTAATTGGCAGGAGTTTAAAAAAACAGAAACCACAATCCCACAAGCACAGCATACCACCATTATGATTATAATTTGTAAAGCATGTGTCCTCTCCCAGGTTTTTTTCCAGACCAACATCGTCGTCATGTTGGATGGATTTTCTATACTTTGTTTTCCCCTCTATCATATGACTTCGTTATACTCCAATTTTGAGGCAGCGATGATGTCCCCACAAAACTGTCACTCTCTGTGATAGCAGATCATAAAACATACGCAGTACAATTCACCAGCATTGAACTTGAGTTTGCCTGATTCTTAGTCTTCAGCATCCACTCCAGAGCCTTCTTTCAGAATCGCTGCCCATAGGAAGAAGGCTGCCCTAGGTTAGCATGTGTTTTTGTGCCAGCCCTCCATTTTGAAATCCTACAGCATCTTTATAATTTTTTTTCCATGTGGCAGTGCTGTATCTCTGAGTCCTGTAACCATTTAGTTTTCTGCTCCATTTCTTCTCTGTTTAGACACTGCCATGCCCCGTCCTACATACTAATTACTGACTTTTTGCTTCTGTGGTGCTTGATTCATTGTGTCACATTTTCCCATGTGAAAGTGGACCAGGAACCTTGGCAAGGAGGTTAATGGATTTCAGAGTCACTCTTATTTAACCCTGGAAGTCACAGCAAAAGAAGAAGCAACGACTGACCCATTTTATAAACCAAGCCATGGTCACCTTCAGCTGCAGACTGGTAATGGATTTCACTATGGTGGCAAGCATTACAGAATTAAAACAGGGCTGGACATAGCGCGCTGCCTTCTCCATGTTTGCCTTCTCAAACTGTGGCTGAAATTTTTCATTTTGTTATCATTATACCTTTAGTGAGGAACACATGGTGGAATAAAAATAACTCCAAATGGCAGATAGTACTTTTGGATTTCAGTCAAATTCTGTCACTAATTAGATTGCATGAACTTTCAGTATTATTAGATTTACTTTCCAGGTCCCAGCTTCCTCCTCTTTAAAATAAGGGTATTTGTCCAAATGATTTTAACATCCTATGTGGCTCTTAGAGTCGGTGATTTTATATACTTCCTTTATTCAAGAAGCATTCATTTGTCATTATATTCCAGTTACCATGCTAAAAACTGTAAATGCAGTTTTGAAATCTAAACAAGAAAGAAATTTGTATTTTCTCTCTGAGGACTTCTGTGAAGTAATCTTTCCTTTAATACAAATTTGACAATAGTTTTGTGAAATGTTTTAAAAGTTTGCATGTTTTTAAGTTGCAAGGATGGGGAGCTGAGCTTAATGCTTAAAGAGGTTGTTGGTAATTAGTCCCGAGGGGAGTTTGGGAAGACCTGCTTATCTTGTTAAGATAAAGTCTTCAATAAGTGGTATAAAGAGAGAAGGAGAGTGAATTACCCTTATTAAATGTTACCACTAAAAAATAATTGGCCATTAATTACTGCAAGCTAAGTAATAAATATTAAATATAATTCCTTATTTATAGGTTACCTCTTCCAATTCTATCTCAACAGCCATTTTGGAACAGTATGTTTCATTGTGGTAGACTAGGTAAAGCTCATCCAAGTTCATGCAAGCCTCCTGTTAACTTTCTTTTCCTGAGAAACTTGTACTAATTTCCTGCAAAGTAGTCATTCCAATTACATTAGAAGTAGTATAGATAACAGTGATCAAGAAACCTCAAAGTTTTCTTAAAACTCATTTTGCAGCCGGGCACGGTGGCTCACACCTGTAATGCCAGCACTTTGGGAGGCCGAGGTGGGTGGATCACATGAGGTCAGGAGTTCAAGACCAGCCTGGCCAACAAGGTGAAACCCCATCTCTACTAAAAATACAAAAATTAGCTGAGCATGGTGGCGCGTGCCTGTAATCCCAGCTACTTGGGAGGCTGAGGCAGGAGAATCGCTTGAACCCGGGAGGCAGAGGTTGCAGTGAGCCGAGATTGCGCCATTGCACTCTAGCCTGGGTGACAAAAGCAAAACTCCGTCTCAAAAACACAAAACAAACAAACAAAAAACTAATTTTGCTCATCTCTTGGAAGACTGAAATGAGAAAGAAATAGCTTTCCAACTGTCAAACTGAGTAGATATGTCTCATTTGAGTGTGGCAGCTACCTTTTAAGCCTTTGGAACTGGTTCAGACCAAGAAAATTCCCTCTCCCTTCTCCCAGCCTGATTCTTCCACTTGAAGGCAGTTTGTGTCACAATTTTTTTTTTTTGCCGTATTAAGACCAATCATTGCTGGGCACAGTGGCTCACATGTGTAATCCCAGCACTTTGGGAGGACAAGGTGGGCCGATCACTTGAGATCAGGAGTTCAAGACCAGCCTGGCCAACATGGCCAAACCCTGCCAAAGGTAGCGGGTGTGGTGGTACACACCTGTATTTTCAGCTACTTGGGAGGCTGAGTCATGAGAATCGCTTGAACCTAGGAGGCGGAGGTTGCAGTGAGCTGAGATCACGCCACTGCACTCCAGTCTGGGTGACAGAGCGAGACTCCATCACCAAAAAAAAAAAAAAAAAAGGAATCTACGAATCTACATCAAGAAACAAGAGTTTCATCATGATCTAGAGTCTTATTTTTTATTATTAATATTATTTTTTAACCATCCATTATGTTGTTGATGATCAGTTGTTCTGTTTCATAACAACCACTGTCATCACCCATATTTCAGAAACTCTTTGATGTTGGTGGGAATGCATAAGTTAAAGGGCAGGAGGAGGGGTCTGGGAGCCTTGAACAAAACCCCTGCCATCTCTCCACAGCTCTATCTTCAGCATCTCTGCAACTGCGTTAAACCAGTTCCTACTAATTACCCATAAACAGCTTAACCCTCCACTGCCATGTTGAACTGCAGAGGCACATCTCTACAGTTCTGTTAATTTTATTTGCTATTGACGACATGCTGTACTTAGGAATTATAATTTATCTTCAGAAGTGGTGTATAACTATTAATTTATCAGAGTCTCACAACAGCCCTGGGAACTAGAATCACTTTCGCTTTTTTAGATGATAAGATGGAAACTAGATCAATTATGATATTTTTCTGCCACTTCAGAGGGAAAGCCTGGGCTTGGAGCCCATTTGCTGGAGAGTTGCTTCACATCTCAAAGTGACAACCGATGCCTTGTTTGTTTGCGCAGGAAAGAGAATGACACTTACGTAACAGCCTTCTATTATATTGTTCTTTTAAAAGATCTTTTATGCTGGCTTGATTTGCTTTTTGCTTTCCAAGTGGGTTTGGCTTACTTTGGAGAGCTGCAGGAAATAATACAAGCTCTGAGAGATTCCAAAAGAATATTTCGGTTCTTGGTGTGATGATGTGGTTTTCTTTCTCCAGGTCCACCATCTGCTCCCCTGAACTTGATTTCGAATGTCAACGAGACATCTGTGAACTTGGAATGGAGTAGCCCTCAGAATACCGGTGGCCGCCAGGACATTTCCTACAATGTGGTATGCAAGAAATGTGGAGCTGGTGACCCCAGCAAGTGCCGACCCTGTGGAAGTGGGGTCCACTATACCCCACAGCAGAATGGCTTGAAGACCACCAAAGTCTCCATCACCGACCTCCTAGCTCATACCAATTACACCTTTGAAATCTGGGCTGTGAATGGAGTGTCCAAATATAACCCTAGCCCAGACCAATCAGTTTCCGTCACTGTGACAACCAACCAAGCAGGTAGGAATTGAATCTACTTTATTGTATGATCTGAATGTATATAGAGAAAAGGCTTAAAATAATGAATGATAATAAATTGCTATAATTGAAGTAGAACCAAGTAAGCCTGGGAGTTGTGTTATAATATAAAAGATACTTAGGGGCTGGGCACGGTGGCTTACACCTGTAATCCCAGCACTTTGGGAGGCCAGGGCAAGTGGATCACTTAAGCCTGAGAGTTTGATCAAGACCAGACTGGGTGACACGATGAAACCCCATCTCTACAAAAAAAATACAAAAATTAGCTAGTCACGGCGGTGCAAACCTGTAGTCGCAGCTACTCAGGAGGCTCAGGTGGGAGGATTGCTTGAGCCCAGCAGTCAGAGGTTGCAGTGAGCTGAGTCACTCCATGCTGGATGGGATTCATCTCGGTCATTTTAATTATAATGTCCATGGCTGGACATCGGAGCACTTATAGATTATGTACAATTATAAAATTTATTTTTACCAATACAGAGTGCTCTATTGGCATTTGTTATATTTTCTAACAAAAGCATTAGCAGCAATAGTTTTGAGCTTATACTTTAATGTAAAATATTATAAATGATCTAGATGGACCTATACTAGAACCTCCATGTACATCTTTATGTCTGTAGTTAACGAAGTTTAAGACACTTAATAGTTTTGCAGCTACTTTTTTCTTTTTTTCTTTTTGAGACAGAGTCTCACTCTGTTGCCCAAGCTGGAGTGCAGGGGCGTGATCTCGGCTCACTGCAACCTCTGTCTCCCAAGTTCAACCAAGTCTTCTGCCTCAGCCTCCTGAGTAGCTGGGACGACAGAGGCGTGCCACCGTGCCCAGCTAATTTTTATTTGTATTTTTAGTAGAGACGGGTTTTCACCATATTGACCAGGCTGGTCTCGAACTCCCGACCTCGTGATCTGTCCACCTCGGCCTCCCAAAGTGCTGGGATTACAGGCGTGATTGCAGCTACCTTTATAGTTGATTTCATGATTGACGTGGGGGCTGGGAGGGTGGGGCGGCCGGTCTCCTCCAATTCCTATATCACTTTCTGCTAATACAGATGACTAGAAAACATTTCCTGTTCATGAAGTGTTTCTACTGAGTTAATCACAGAACTGTCATGAAATCCTGAATATAAAATATTTTGAAAATCTAGGTTTCTAGGCTTTCGCTTCTGACTTACTCATCTGTATTCCTTCCCTGAAAGTTACCACCCCTCCAGGAGTTTTACATTGCCGGCTTTTTTTATTTCTAGAGAGTTAGAGAGGAGAAGGGAAACAGAACTGTGGCTTATTCTTTGTGAGGCTCTTGGGATAGAAAACACTGCCGGAAAAGGATTATAAATTGCCAACAATCCTATCGCTTCTAACTGCGCTTTTCTTTTAAATAAATGTTTCAGTAAGTGCACTCAATAGTTTAGTAAAATATCTATACTAATTGATCCTATAAGTGAAAACGATTCCAGTGTCCCAATCCAAAGCCATTATTTTTCCATTTTGCCCTGAACTCTTTGGAATAAAAAAAAAGTTAAGACTTGGGGAAGGTTTTGAGCAGGGGCTAGAATGGTGAGTCTTACCGGAATATATCTTCAGCTCTACAGACGTGAACAGTCTTTTAAAATCCCTAATGTGAACGGGTCATCCAGCTAGGCCTTTGTCTTTTAATTCTGTATTTTTAGGTTGTGAACACTGTTAGTGGTCATTAGTTTCATTTTTCTACAAAGACTAGTATGATTTAGGAGTTTTTGATAGAAATATGAGTACTCTGTGATTGCCAACATTTTATTAGTTCTCTTTTGGAAGAACACAATGGAAATATTACACACAGATCCTGGGAACACGCATCGGTGCCACTGATCTCTCTGAATTAGGAGCTGATGCAGAGCAGAACGATTTCGGCACCGTCTGGAGAATCTGGTTGATGATCCAATCAGTATTCTTACATGCAGCCCCCTTCTACCTTTTTGGCTATTCATTCGCAAGCACTGCATCATGTTCTTAACCAAATTAAAATTAGGAATGGACTTTTGGAGCCTCATCTGTAAAAGGTGAAGTCATTCTCCTTGGCAGAGAAAAGCCCGTGGGAGGCATGCTGAGGACAGGAGATTTCTGTGACTCCCTGTACACCTAGAGATTTGAGCCAAGAAGTTATGTCAACACCTACCTGGGCAAAAGGTCCAGAGAGCCCAAAGAAGACACACTAAAATCCTCCAAAAGAAGAAAATGTGCAAAAACATTTCCAGGGGCAGAGTGGGGTGGGGTGAAGTTTTATTTTAAATGTAGATATAATTCTTCTAGATTTAGGAGGAAAGGGGAGAGAGAATTACTCTGACACAATAAGGTTTTCTTTGCCATGGCATGTAGTCCTGCCAGGAGGTTTGCTGAACAGGACAAAATTCCAGCTCCTTATTTTAATTTTCATGAAGGGTAATGCTGGGAAGCTGTTCAAAATTAAAAATAAATCTTTCAATAAGGAGACCTCCTATGTGGCCAGCCAGAAAGCTTTCACTTAGGAGAGAATTGTATATGTGCGGAGCACCGCTTCATTATCCTACCATAATTTGAAGTTCTCTAATTCAAATCATCAGGATAGTTTACCTTTGATTAACAAACCCTTTCTTCGTAGTAGTGCAAATTAATAATGTAGGCCAAAATTCTGGGTGAATGTAGCAACCGTAAACTCTATCAAAGCTCCCCTAAGTATATTTGCATACACACAATTATATTCTAATTGCAATTGCTCCTATTATTTCATTAAATTAAATTCCTTGAGGACCACTATAGGCAATGATGTCTCACTCTATAAGGAATACATAGAATTAATGAATGTTAGCATTTAGCACCTGGAGGCCCCAAAAGTTAGTGGTTCTCCATCTTTTCTCTGTTTTCACAGGGTTCTTTCTCTCATCAGTAACACGTTAAAAATAATAAATCAAGTCGATCACGCAAAACCTGCTAGAATTTTTGAGTCCTATGTTCACTGCCCTTGAGACTTTAAGAGTTGAGGAGCAGCTCTATGAAGGTGAGGTGACTCATCCATGCTAATGTCAGAGCCAGTACTAAAAACCAGGGAGAATCCTACTCCTAAATGTAGAAAGTTGCTTTCCTTTAAAATTAGGAGATAATGAATAGCATTCATGTATTCAGTTTGGCATTCTCCCCATTTGTGAGACCAGATTATGTGAGTATCTGGGCATGGAGATGGAGATTTAACTGGGCTTTGATCATTTGATTGTAGAATGTGGTGTGAATGGGCCTGTGTTCTCACAAGGTTATTTAAACAATCCTAACCCAAATCTTACTCCTGGGGTCTTAGGGGGTTAATAAACACCCTTTCCCTCCGCTTCTGGGTTAAAAACCAGTTGACACAGAAGACAAAGGAAATCTGAATATCTGTCAGCTTTTTGCTGATAAGCTGATGGAAGGATGTGAGCTTTCTATCTGTGGCCAAAAAGGCTTGCTTTAGTGACACTTGCAGCCCAGCTGGCTAACTGCAGGCTCCCTGCCTGCCCTGCTAAGGTTGTTGGAAGGACACTCTGTGCAGGTAGGCAGGTAGGCAGATAGGCAGATAGGCAGGTCTGAGAGTGGGTGGAGCTGAGGACACAGTACTTCTCCCAAATTCTCTAATGAGATGAGTCACTCCCAGCCTCACCCCCATGCCAGAAACAATGAAGGGAAGAGGTGGGAAAAGAGTAAGGGTGGGGGTGTTACTTATTCCAGCTGAAGTTGTACCCAGTAAAACTGGAGAAGAGGAAGCTCTTGGAGCTCCCCCAAAAGTTACTTTTCTACATTACAGGCCAAAAGGAACAAAATGAGATTCCACTTTCCTTCATCCTTTCATCCTGTAGCAACTGTTTTGTCCTTTGTTTAGAAGCAGATAGTCCTGATGTTTATGAAAAATGGCAGACTGCTGGGTGATTTGTTTTCTGGATGGCTTTCCTTTGGTTTACTTTTACTTAAGTGGACCATCAGGCAAATGAATACAGGATGTGTCACCAGGAGGGAGAAATGCTGTGTAAATGAAACATGGTTTTCTGACCAAGCAACAGACCTGTGAAGTTTTGTTGTTGTTGTTGTTGTTAAAAAGGCTGCAATGGCAGCCAGCAGTACCTTAATATCTCTGAATCGTTTCTTGCCATTCATCTCCCATCGCCTTTGCTTGGTCTTCTAGCTATGAGGCTGGACCATATACTGGTGTTTTAAATCATTATCGACCCAACCCCCATGAATGGTGTTCTCTCCTCACCCTAAATTGCACCCAGAGGCAGTGATGTCCATTTTTGATTTTTACTTTGCATGTGATGCTATTCTAGATACTTCATAATGGAAAGATCTGGTCTTATCTCTCTAGCACAGCCATGGTGTCCTAGTGACAAACAAACATCTGTAGCATGCTTAGTTTGGAGGATTTAAAATATTTGATGAATTACATAATTATTTAAACTAGCTAATCTCTGAGATCTTTTCTGTTTCAAAATTCTGTGATTCTAAGTATGTAACCTTGAGCTATGAACCTGAAGAAGTAAGGCTTATTTTTCTAACATGTTTAGAAATGGTCTCTCAATGCAATTCTAAGAGTGGGAAAACACTCTAAAAATGGTTCAGCAGAATTATCACTTGAATTCTGTCTGCCTTCCATCTCTCCAATTCCTTGCCCTGCCAAGGTATTTACGTTGTTGGGGAAAAACACTAAGATAGTGAACAGTTATTCTACATTGGGGGTGGTTTCTGCTCCTACCCTTAATGGGCAATGTCTAGAGGCAATTTTTTGGTGCTGTTGCATCTAGTGGGTAGAAACCAGGCATGCTGATAAACATCTTATAATTCACAACACAGCATCCCCTACCCCTGCAATGAAGAATTTTCTGGTCCAAAATGTCCATAGTGCTAAGGCTGAAAAACTCTGTTCTAGCAGTAGTTTTTAAGAACAGACTTCATAGCAGTGCCTTCAGGGTTCCATAGCCAACTGGCCTTTGCTTGAGCTGGCCTATGGTTCAACA